GCATTGGTATATAAACATTTCAAACTATTTGAGTTGTATCCAGTACTTATAACTGGCTTTTGTGCATTATCATTTATTATAATTTTAAAATCTTGGATACCGGTTACAGTTCTTTTAAACATTAGAATGTTACTTATTTTGTTTGCCACTTTATACTCAAATTGCTATGTTTTTTTAGTCAGTTTTACTACTTTATTACTTCTTATACCATAATAAAATGAGCTATTGTTCATTTCTGAATTTCCGTTTAAAATTTTCACTTCAGGTCTTAATTGCTTCGTTAAAATTCTTTCTGCTTCAGTCATGTCAGTATTAAAGTAAATATTTGGTATTTTATCCCTGTTACGAAAAGCTGCTTTTAGCACTTGGTTTCTTGCATGCACGTTATCAAGTTCTAAAATAACTGGGGACTTTTGTGACATATCCCACGATCGTAATCTTGTAATTCTTTTGATTTGCACACTTTCTAAATTTATATCTTTTATGACTTTTAATACCTCTATTTTATCATCTTCTTTTCGTTCATTTAGATCACTTTTTGCGGAATGATTTAAACCAAAAACAATAAAATTGTTTTCTCTTCAAGCTCTCTCAGCTGTTTCAATTGCTACTGTATTTATAATATCTATTTGTAATGGAGTCTTTACACTATTTTTGCTGGCGACGACATTCCACGCCTTATCATCTATTATACATGGATTGTTTTTATTAGAAGTGTTTTCCTCTTCCAATTTTTTTATTCTTTCTTCTAGACTTTTAATTCTTTCTTCTTTAAAGTTTAGCTTTAATTCTAATTGTTTAATTCTCTCTAATAAATCGTCTAGTTTTTTTTCTTCTTCTTTTTTAGGAGGCATTGTGATTGTTGTTTTATTAACTTTTTGTTTACTTTTTTAAAATAATACGTCTGCCATCTTTAAAACGGCAAAAAAAAAAAAAAAAAAAAAAAAAAAGTATATATATATATATATATATATATATATATATATATATATATATACATATATATATATATATATATATATATATATATATATATATTGCCTGTATATATATATATATATTGCCTATATATATATATATATATATATATATATATATATATATATATATATATATATATATATATATATATATATATATATATATATATATATATATATATATATATATATATATATATATATATATATATATATATATATATATATATATATATATATATATATATATATATATTGCCTGCCTTCGCTAGCGGAGTCAGGAAATCGACTTTGCGCGTCCTTCCGTATAGTAGTCCTTGGTACAAGTATAAGTTTTAAATGTATATCTAAAAATTATTAGCTTATTATATCTTCAAAATACTTCTAAAAAATTTATCTTCCGATAAATCCTGATATATGTCTAATGATTATATAGAATTTTTTAAATAATGGTAAATATTAATATTTAATATTGTTTAGGAAGCAAAAATATTGTACATTGTATATATTTTTTCAACTGTGGGACTATTCTGTCTAAACTGTGGTCTAAAGTTGTCTAATTTGTGGGACTATTCTGACTATTTTCTATAACAGTGGGATCATTCTGTGGCGAAATCACCCCTTAATATTCTACTTGGATAAAAACCTATTTAAAATATATACCACGAACACCAGTTAAATAGTTTTAACAAATTTATGAAGCTCTCACCTTAACAGTTATTCTCAAATGTACTTATATCTTTCTCGAATGTAGTTTTTTCAGTTTCACAAAATTAAAAATAATGTCACTTGAAGCAATATTGACACAATCATATCAAATAATTAAACAGCAAATCTTATTAAATTTACAACAACCAATCAAATTAGGCGACAACTATGATCAATCAATAGTTATAAGGTTATAAATTTAAAATGATAAAAATTTTACATCATACTAATATGGTGTTATGCCATAATAATATCTTTTTCTTGAAATATAAAAAGTGGCGAAATCGCCCTCGTGCTGAAATTGTCCCCAGTCTTACCTATATTATGAAACGTGAACAATTTTTTTTTAAAAGAAAAATTATAGCCGAGCAAAGGACAGTAAAAGGTAGTAAAAAAGTGTTAAAATATAAAACATAAAAATTTCAAATAGTAGGTCAGCTCGGAATACAAGTGTCGTATCAAAAATATTTAAAAATTATATATAAAATGTAATTATCTTATTTATTTAAATTTAACAAATTTAAATAACTAAGAAAAAATTCTTTTAAAATAACTTTATATTGTAACGTATAATAAAAATAAATTTTTTCATCTACATAACTTAAGTTGACAAAAACTTGATAACTACATATTCAAATATAGGGTGGAATGCAAGAAGCAAGTTCGACTTGAACTTTACACTGTAGCCAATAGCAGCAGAGTATTTTTTGAGGGGAAAACCGATACTTTGTCGCTATTGGTTTCAATGTAAAGTTCAAGTCGAGCTTGACTCAAGTTCGCTTCTTGCATTCCACCCATAGTTTTATTAAAATTTCGACGCGACGCTTGTATATGACGAGTTATCATACATTCATCGTTTGAATGACGTCTTTTAAAGTTCAGATGAATAGCGTACCGTTGGTGTTGTAAAAATAGAACTTTTATTAAAAAACGTAACGCATTTTTGCACAGAAACAAAAGAATTTCTAGTGGTTGTGGGATTGATATTTGGACAAACAAACAATTTGACGTCACCAAAATGTACGCTATTTACTATAACTGAAAAAAATTCGTAACAATAAAGTAATAATTATACTAATGTTTTAATTATACTAAGTATATAAATTACTTTGGTGTAAAGTTTATGTTAGTTTTAGCTAATGCTGTGTTCGCAATTATGGCTTTTATGAGTTTATTGTGGTTTGCTAACTATATGATAAGTGTTAAACTTTTTATTTGCCGTCAGTAAAGTTAATTCTTAATAAAGATAATAATTGTGCCTGCTTCAAAAAATACAAGACTCTCCATTGAAACAAATTTATCAACTTACATAGGCGGAAGTAAAGATCTTAATTCATTAAATTGTCGACATTAAGAGATATACGTGCGGCCGAGGCGCAGTGGTTAGAGCGCTTGCTTTAGTAGCAGGAGATCCAGGTTCGAAACGAGCCCTGGACATATTTTCGCGTCTCGGTAAGGAAGGAGGCGTGAACTTTCTGGTTAAATGCACTGCCGTAGTGCTCTGTAACAGCACCGTCAGGTCTTCTTGGGGTACCTAAATGACAAAATTAAAAAAATTAAAATTAAAATTTTGGTTAGGGCTGCCATTATCCCGGTTTTTGCAAAACAATAACAGCCCTGATTTAGATAAACAATTTAACTTATCAAAAGGACTAAAAAAAACTTTAGTTTTGTGAAGCAAAGCATTTAGTTGCTGATTTAAAAGATTTTTAGAAAATGATATAGTTGAAATTAAACACAATTCTTACTTTATCTTAACTAAATAAACTAACCGTATCTTCCCAACAGAGAAGCGGTCAAATACGTATTTGTATTTGATATTGTATTTGTAACGGGTAGTTATGGGTTAAAATGGCGCATTTGTATTCGTATTATATTTGATTTAAAAATACTTTCACATAAGTGGCAATTCTATTGTATTAGAAGTCAAAAAAGTTGTATCGACCAAGCTCTAGCTAATTAGATCAATCAGCGGTCTTATTTTACCTGCGTTTTCAATTCAAACTGCGTAAGCGTTTTTAGTCACTCATTAAAGAAACGCATTTAACGAGTTCAAAAACCTCAAAAATTTGATGAGGAGTTGAACCTCAAAACTAGTGGGTTTTTTTTCGAGCCGAGTGTTTACCGCCAGTCTACTACCCCATGATAATATGATGAAAATTGTTTATAAAACTACTCAATTGAAAGCCGTTTTTCACGATAAAAGCATAAAGTGGGGCTTTTGTCATTTGTAATTAAAAAAAATTAAACTCAAAGAGAATCGTCTCATGTTTTGTTAAACAAAAGTTCATTTAAAATTTTGGGAAAAAAATCTACTACCAGATAGTTGGTACCAGATAGTTGGTGCCAGATAGTTGGTACCAAGTAGTTGGTGCCAGATAGTTGGTACCAGATAGTTGGTACCATATAGTTGGTACCATATAGTTGGTACCATATAGTTGGTACCAGATATTTGTTCCTTATTAACTACTCTTCCTCGATTAAAAAACTATTCTTGATGAAGTTAGAAACTAGTAAATAGTAAAAGCGCTCTAACCACTGCGGCCGTGGCGCAGTGGTTAGAGCGTTTGCTTTATAAGCAGTAGATCCAGGTTCGAAACGATTTGCTTTATAAACAGTAGATCCAGGTTCGAAACGAACCTGGATCTACTGTTTATAAAGCAATTGCTTAAAAAGCTTAAGACATACTTTCGTGTCACAGTAAGGAAAGAGGAGTAAACTTCCTGGTTAAATGCACATCCGCAGTGCTCTGAGACAAGACCGTTCTTGGGGTACCTAAATACCCAAAAAAAAAAAAAAAAAAAAACGCAAAAAAGTTTAAAAAAGGTTTTTATAATGCACTTTTCATAATGTACTTGACCTTATTTTAGTTTAAAAAAGCGTAATCCAAATTTAATATATTTAGAAGCAAACACTTTACCAAATTATTGTTCTGATGCTACAATGTCATGAGCCTAAATTTAAAAAAATAATAATACCAATTTAGCATTCTATAATTCCATCTCATAACACATAATTCGTCTTTTAGGTTTCCCTCTAAAATGTTTGATAAATACGACTATTTAAACATTATTTGGCTGCTGGGAGCTGGTTATTATAGACATCTGACACAAAACTTCCAACAAAAATTTAAAACTCTAAAAACATTTATATCTAATTGTTTAAACTTTATAACCAATAAAGTTTATTTTAATTTGTTTATTATCATTTACATGATTTTATATTATATTTTGCAGGTTATACAAAGCTTTGGAATAAATAAACGTACCAAAAAAGTTTGAAAAATTTGAAAAGTTATATTTTGTTTTTTAGCCTTATAAAAAGTTGTTTCATGTCTTCAGTAAAAGCGATTTAATTGTTATGTTAAAAAGATTTTTTCCAATACTAGTATGGCTTCCACAATATGACTTAAAAAAACTACGTGGTGATTTAATTGCTGGATTAACTTGTGGTGTTATTGTTATTCCGCAAGCTATTGCATTTGCCAACCTTGCAAAACTTCCTCCACAAAATGGTTTGTATGCTTCACTAACGCCTGGCCTAATTTACTGTTTATTTGGTACATCAAAAGATGTAAGTACAGGCACAGGTGTAACTCTGGGCTTGTATACATCTAGATTTAATCCTACAAACACTACAATTGGTGCATCTCTTTTAAGTTTTATAAGTGGTGTCATTTTGGTGTTTATGGGCGTTTTTAAACTTGGATTTTTGATAAAGTACGCTCCTCAGCTTGTCATCAGTGCGTTTGTTTCAGCTACAGCTATCACCATTATTGTAACACAATTTTCTAACTTACTGGGAATCAAAGGTGCACCATTTAATGTATTCGAGATTCTTAAATACATAATATTGAACATCAAGAAAACAAATAAATGGGACATAACAATGAGTGCATTTTGTCTCATTATTCTAGCAATTTTTATTTATCTTTCAACTTTAAAACTTAAAAAGAAACCATTATTAAAAAAAATTTTTTTGTTTTTATGCGGTGCTCGAATGGCTATTGTGTGCCTGTTGGCAACGATCGTTGTTTATATATTTCATGTTTATGGTTACAACCATAAGTTTACTATGGCTGGAAAAATTCCAAATGGGCTTCCGCATTACCAGGTGATGAATTATTGTTTTCTTTTGTTTTTTTGTTGTTGTTTGTTATTTTGCATTTCAAAACCTTTATAAACATAGACGTTTGTCTCAATATATGTTGATGAATGTCTAATACATGAGTTGTCTTTATTCTCGTATAAATATTATGAAAATAAAAAGCAAGAGTGTTTAAATTTTTCTAAAATATCAAAAAAATAAGAAAATAAACATATTTTTTATAATTTTATAAAATTAAAAATATTCAGCTTCGTAAAATTTTAAAAGTAGTCCTTTCAAAAAATAAAATAATGAAAGAACTATTTTTTAGATGGTTTTCTTAAAAGTTTATGGAGTGCTGCACAATATTCTACAGTTTAAAATCTTTTTTTTATTGAAACAAGAGAAATAATAGGGTCTCATTATACCTAAGAACATTGACGGATTCAGCATAGGGCGTAGGGGGGCGAGCTTCTTCCCCCTTCCTCCCCGCGCTTCCAAAGCCATTCAACTAACATCCCCTAAAATATAAGTTTCTCATTACAAATTTTGCGTTTATTTTAAACGGTAATAAAAAAAGTATGTAACAACAAACCATCATTTGAAGAGCTTCTTTTTAAATTTACCCGCATTTATGGGAGAAAGTAAAACGGAGACATTTTGCTTTAAGAAAATATCTCTTATCGTCATAATGTGCACAATCAATGCATTTTTAACATATTATCTTGTTTTAAAACTACTGTCAGTGTACAGTGATAAATTTTTATAAAACTACAATGACTTTGCATGATTTCAACATTGTGGAGCATTTTAGATTTGTTTTTATTTGTTAAAAATTTTTTCTGAAAAACCCGTATGGCGCCCCCTCCCCACTTGAAAACTACTTGCTACTTTCAAAGATGAGTATGCATCAATTCTTAATAGAGTAATATATGACATTATGTTTTTCAAACTTGTCTATGCTTAACAAAATTGACTTGACTCATCCTTTTAAATCTGAGAGAAGTTTAAGCAGACTAAAGATTATAAAAAACTATCTGTGATTAACAATGAAAAAACAATGTCTTTGTAGATAGAAATTAATTTTGTTTAAAAATAAGCTTGCTGAGAGCATTGACTTTGAGTTATCAAAAAATCATTTTGCTTCAACCCAGCGTATACAAACGTCCTTAAGACATCTATACAACGCCTTATAGTCGTCATAAGTCCGAATGATGTTCTTAAGACGTCCAAAAAACGTTTTGTACCCGCGGAATTAAAATCTCGCAGAAAAAAATTTGTTTAAACATTTAGTTTAAATATACTTTAAATTAACCAAACCACCCGACGGGCATTTGTTTTTAAAAGTTACGTTCTAAATGTGTTTTAAACGTCTTTTAAACGTCTTTTAAACATTAATGTTTAAAAGACGTTTAAAAGACATTTAAAATACATTTAGATCGTAACTTTTAAAAACAAATGCCCGTCGGGCATTGCAATAATATTAATTTTTTTTTTTTTTATAACGATATTTGTTAATCAAAGTAAACTTAGAAAACTCAAACTTAAGGTTGTTAAGTGTCTTAGAAAAGGTCAGGATAGCAACATCAGTTTTTTCTATGTCTTATAACATCTTTCGAATAACATTTCTAAATAATGAGGTATAACTATATCCGTTCAACAACATCTGCAAATAGACTAAGGTAAAATAACATCTGTTTGGCAACATCTGAAATTTTTCAAATGCAAAATACCATCTGTGTAAAAGGTTTATGTTAACTACAAATGTAATTAAATCTTTTCAATTATCTTAGTATAACAACATCAACAACATCATGCAACAACATCTGTGCAACTACATCTGGAGATTTTACAGATGTAGTTACATTTTTTCAATTATGTTAAGAATAACTATATCTGTTTAACTACGTCCGGAAATTTTACAGATGTGGTTCCACAGATGTTATAATACTTAGATAATTGAATCTGTGCAACTACATTTGTAAATAGTTACATCTTTTAAATTATATTAAAAGTAACTACAGGATTATATAAAATTATCAAATATTAATGCTTTATTTTAACTAAATGTAGTTACATATATGATTTTTTTCATCTAAAAAAAAGTATTGAATATAAATGCATTATTTTAACCAAATGTAGTTACATATAATATTTTTTTCAAATGTAGTTACATCTGGAGGAAATTCTTCCAGATGTTATTGGAGTTACTTCTTCCTAAAGATGTTGGAAGGGGTCATTGAATTTCCAGATGATACTTGACAGATGTTATTGGCGTACCTAATCGTTTTGATCAAGCGTTCTTAAAAAAATACATTTATCACAAGTGCGAGTCTCGAAAATAATATTTTTGGGGATTAATGCTTCCAATCTATGTCCAATATATGTATATATAAATATGAGAATATATATGTGCATATATATATGAGAATATATATATATATATATATATATATATATATATATATATATATATATATATATATATATATATATATATATATATATATATATATATATATATATATAAGAATGAGAGGATACAGCATTTTATAATGTATGAGATAGCTGAATCTCAAATATGGAGTAAATTCTTAGACATATACAAAGTTCTATACATAAACTCTCCAGACATAGAGCGAACCTCCAGACATGGAGCAAAAGTTATATGCTTATACTTAAGGATAAGCATATGACTATACATAAGGATACTTTGTAATAATAGGAATCTGGGAACAAAAAACCCTAAAAATTTGGCCACAACTGTCCTGAACATGAAAGCCACAAATTATAAAATATATTTTTACCTAAATTTACATTTATTAATAAATTATAAATTTCATACAATAATCTTTTAACTTTAAAAAATTATGACCCTATAAAGTTGGTCACCCCAAAGTAAAGGGGGTTTACAAATATGTGATATATGTATAAGTGCATTTATACACATGAAAAAAACCTAATATTACTTAATATAAATACTAACTCCATACATAAAATGGCATTAATACAAACTATAAGTGGCAATGACATTAAGTAGTATGATCGATGTAGACCATGTTTTGCCTTAATCAAAACCTTTTTTTATATACCGTAAAATCGCCTAAGTTCGGTAACTTTGAAGCTTTGATTAAGCTTTAAAAATTCATTTATCGCACATAAGTAAAAATTAAAATTTTTTTGTTGTTGAAATATACAAATATTATATTAATAATTGAAATTAAAAAATAAAAACTAGTATTCGATATTTAATTTCAAATGAGAACATTACTTTGACCGAACTTTCACTACCACATTAATTCGATTGCTATATAAATCCTAAAAACGCATTACAAACCTAAAGTCACTAAAAACGTATCACAAACTTAACGTCACTAATAACGCATCACAAACGTCACAAATAATCAAAACTAATTTTAAATAATTTTTTTTTTGCAAAATGATGATATAATTTTAGTTATTATCAGTAGCCATGGAGGGCGTCATCCTGGGCTCAAAAAAAAGGTTTTTTGGAGTGCTAAAGAAGACAACAAGCACATAAAAGAGACCTTTTTAAGAAAAAACAAAGAGATATAATAGCTGTAGGGAGAACGAAGCTGAAAACGATTTCAAATCCGATATCGTCTTTGTTGTATAATTATTTCAACAGCAAGTCAAAATGGCGCTTTTGCGAAAAAATGAAATATTTCGAAGCATTATTTGTAAGCTTTGAAAGTTGTAATCGAAGTGAGTTAATCTCTTAAAAGTTTATTGCAGGTTTTTAACAACTATTTAATCAATTAGATAACTCCTTGGTATAAATTTTTTATTTATATAAATAAACAATTTAAACAGTTAGATAACTTGGTATAAATATTATTTTTTATTTTTATCATAATTAGTGAACTATTTTATTATTTGAGCTTTTATTCCTTTTGCTGCGCCACTGATTAATAAAATTAAAAATATATTTTTCAACTAAGTTAAAAAGGTTTAAAAGTTAAATTAACAAAAAAATCTTCTCTATAAACAAGCTTTGTATGTTTAAAAATTCTTGAAAATTCTTGCAAACCTAAGTAGAACAGCATGATTCAAACAACCGATTGTCACAGAATTCGAAAGACATTTATAATTTTTGCTGAGCTATAATTTTATCTCCAAAAAAAACTTCACATGCTTGACATTTTTTAAAATTCAAAGAACCGTCAGACTAACAGTTTAGATATATGGAAGTCGCTTTGTATTCTGATATTGTCAGAATTTCAATTACCACCAATTGTTTTCGTTGTTTCGTTATTTAATAATAGGATTGTTAAACAGTTCAGTTTCCTTTGCAAAACTTTATTAAGTTAATTAATTGAATTAACCATCCGTTTTATTTTTTCATGCAAAACCTTTCTAGCTTGTACTTTTTACTTCTTTTACTTTTAACTTCGACTCTGATACGGATGCTTTGGGTATTCCAACATGTAAAGCATTTATGAAAAAAATAGGAAGAAATAAATGACTGAACCAATCTGAATTGAACCTCTTCTAAACTCTATAAACTTATTTCACCACACAGTTGTTTCTGTCATCACTGACACACTTGTTATTTTAGCGAATCCGTTATTTTCTTGAAAAAAAACCCTTTTTTTTCTTGCATGACCTAAATTTATAGCTTTTATGAAATTTATGAAATGGATGTGTTTAAATGCTCACAAGCAGTCGCGCAGCATGTTAAAAAAGTTTAAATGTGTTCAAAGAGATTTGTGCGCTTGAAGTTCGATGCTTTTGTATACTTAAAGGAATTTTAAAAATTGCGTTGGCTTTTATAGGCAGTGTTGGTAAAGCTTGAGTACTTAACGCGAAAAATGATCCGATAGCTAGTTTTTCATTAGTCATTTTTCCCCGACACAACAAAAAAGTACCTGCTGCTTTGAAGCCGGAACACACATTGTCTATAAAAAAGCTTTTGTTAAAAAAACTGTTTTAGCAACCTTGCAACTGTTGCTAGGTTGCTAGAGTAGTTAGGTTTTGTGAGATCTTTGAAATCTTTTTGAATGAAATGTTTATTAAGAATTCCGTGCTATTTACTTTTTATTGTCCTGAATACGCCAAAATCAAGTGGCTGAAGCACGTAAAATCTATAGCTGGTAGCCTGAAATAATAACTTTTTTTTTATTTTGCTAAGCGAATTACTTCCAGCATTACAGGTGACGAATGACCGTCTAGTAAAAAGACGTTGGAATCTTTAAGCTTGCAGCAATAGAAATAAATGTCTTCTCAAATCATCCAACAAAGGCATGTCCTTCCATCTAGCCAGATTCATTGCACATATGTTTTAAATGCTTCTTCAAATAAATACTCAAATTTATCATAAATATTATTACATCTGGCCTTGGAATAAAATATGAACAGGCACTAATGTACCAAAAGCATCACAGCAGTCAAATATTGTACCTGAAGTCTTTTCGTTTCTAAGTTTCAAATTTTCGACCCGTTCGAACCTTTTCAATACACTAACTTAAATTTGATCAAACTGAAGTCCAGATTCATCGCAATTAAAAATTTGGAATAGCTTTGTTGCAAATCCATGCGTGCTGTACACATCAGAAACTTTTGCAAAACTAAATTAAATAATTAAATAAAGTTATAAAGTAGGTCATTAAAATGTTATAAGTTAAGCAGTTTATATAAAGTAGTTAACTTGTAAACATTTCAATCGAATTGATTTTTATCTTATGAAAATTTAGCCTTTTTTATTAAAAAATAATTTCTTATAAAATCTATTTATATGTAAACATATAATTTTAATATATACCATTGATCAATAGTGCCTGGCTGAGTTGATATTTTACGGTTTGACAGCATATTATTTGAAGTTCTAAACGATAGCTTATCACAGCGACGTCTGATGAATGAGTAACACCAGACAAGTGTAACTTTGCGGTCATCAAAACACGTTTGATTTGAATTGATTAAGTAGTTATTAACAACACACGGTATTTCAAGTGTGCTCAAACTGAAACCAATATGATTTTGAAGTATTGAAATTTTTACAATAACGTCCTCGATGTTGTCACTCAACAAAGCTGGTTTGCCATTTTTTTAAATATGCTTGCCGTAACTTCTGGTTAATCTTTTGAAAGTTGATTTTATAAAGCCAAGTATAAAAGCTGCTTTCCTCTTACTCTGTTACCTTCGTCCACAGCCTTTAAACCACAAGCTATCCCTGTTTTCTCGCGCAAATCCATAGATGACATATAATTAGCAAAAGAACTATTTTAGCACGTTGCAATGTATATTATTGTATTGAAGGTAGTTCATATCAGTGATGTAAATTTACTAATGAATTTTAAAATCAAATTTTACCTGAAAGTTAAGCAGTAAATTTTTTTTTAAAACAGGTTAATTTTGAAATTATAAATTTTTGATTTAAACTAAATACCATGGTGAGTATCCACTATAAAAAAAGCCAAAATTTACAGGTAATTTTACAGGTAAAGCTACCTGTAAATTTTACATTTGCAACACTAGTTCATACACACTTTGTCACATTTTTCACCTATCAACATTTCATACCATTCCTGTTCGTTGTTTATCCATGAATGACCGTGTTAAGAATCACCAAATTATTATTTAATTTGGTGATTCTTAACAATACTTAGATTAAACCCCAGTGGGCACCCGACGTCAATCCGACGTCGGATTTACGTTTGATTTTCATCAGCGACGTCAAAAGACCTATTCCGACGTTGTTCCGATGTCAGTAAAATGACGTCGGGCGATGTCTTTATCTCAACATCCCCTGACGTCGTTTCGATGTATTTTGACGTTGTTCCGACATCTTATAAAAGACGTCCAAAAAACGTCGCAGTACTGACATCGATCCAACGTCGATAAAAAGACGTCGGGCAACGTCATAATATTAACGTACTCCGATGTCTTTTGACGTCTTCCGACGTCAATCCAACGTCCTTAAAACGACGTCGGAACAACGTCGTAAGACATCGCTGATGAAAATTTAATCCTAACCCAACAATATGTGTGCAATTGCGCTCTTCAATAATTATGTGAACTAAGCGTGTTTTTTTATTAATGGAAAAAAGTTTGAATAAAGGTTGATAAAACATCATGAGGTTTTGTATGATGCACTAGCATAGTTTTTTAACTATTAACATTTTTGAGTATACATTTTTTATAATATATAACTATTCGTTTTAATATTTATATAATATTTAAACAAAATTATTTCTTATCAAAGTAATAATTCCCAAATAGCTACAAGTATAAATTACTAAATAAAAGCATCATTTGATATGTCCTTGTGGTGTAGAGGTAAGCGCATAGGATTTAGTATCTAATAGGCCGAGGTTCGATTCATGCCTAAGGCAACGTTTTTTAGTTTTCAAAAAACACGTTGGATTTACATCGGAATGCCGACGTCGCGCGATGTCAGTTTATCCGACGTCAAATAACATTTCCATTTCCAACGTAAACCCAACGTCGATCCGACGTCGAGATCCGACGTCGCTCGACGTTCGTTCGACGTCGAAATGCCCACTGGGACTTGATCATTTATTATAATACTTTTCTAATTTTAGATTTTAATACTAAGCCTTTTTTCAAAATTTTTTTTTGCTAAAGAATTAATTCAGCAGTTTTCAACCCAGTGGGTATGCGTTGTCTGGAGGACGTCCGTCGGAAGTCTTACGGACGTCTGGACGTCCTTGACACGTTCAGCGGACGTTCTCCGGACCACGCGTGCCCACTGGGAAATAAACATAGTTTTTTTTATACATTCATATTTACGAAGTAATAAAAAGTATTATTTGAGGAAAAAAATTTTTAAAACTTAAGTTTTGCATGCTGACCAAACTTAGGCGATTTTACGGTATAAAATAGTATACGGTATATATAATAACATGATTTAGAATACAACGCACGGTGCACATTGTTTTTAATTGGTTTTTTGACTTATTTAGAATCTTTTTTTGATTATTCTATTTATTTGAAGTTATTTTTTTGTTAATATTTTACTCTACATTGATTTTTAATTTTCTTTATATATTGTTGCAGAATCCATTTCAACCTGTAATGAAAGGCAATGTTACATTATATTCAACAAAAAATTTAATAGACAGTTACGGTGTTGCTGTAATTATTTTACCAATTATCATGTTTATAGAACAATATTCTATAACTAAAGCATTTGGACGCAAATTCAATTATAAGGTAAAAGCACAAAACGAGTTGATTGCTTTAGGAATTATGAACATTGTTGCTTCTTTTTTTGGGGGTTGGCCTGTTGGCGGAAGTTTTACTCGTTCAGCGGTGAATTCTATAAGTGGTGCTCAAACTCCACTTACAGGTAAGATTTTACGTTAAGATTGGAATTAGGAACATTGTCTTTAATAATAAACTTTTTTTTTTGGCGAACAATTTACCATAACTAATAATAAAATTTCGGCTAAAATAAAATAACTAATATACAATAGTGCTTTTAAATAATGCAATTTTACATTAGCTGTTTATTTAGAAGTTCAATTCAATAGACATGCTTTGCAATGTCGAGTTTTAGTAATTAAAATAATATCAAAATTGTTAACAGTTTGTTTATTTAAATTGTAATAACATTTTCAACTGTTGAAAATAATCTCAATTAATGTTAGTGGAGGGTTAAGATGACTCTGTCACTTTAGGCAAGAATAAGCTTGCCTTTGCCACTTGAATTGTTTTTGTAACTTTTCCAGAAGAGAAAATATTCAAATATAATTAAGAACTTTTTAGCCTTTTTTGTCGAAAACTTGAACTTAAGCTTGTCGTTGCTTGCAATTGGGGAGAATGTTTTCCATCGTGACCTCAAGACCAAACAAATGAAGAAATAAGATTAAGCTATTCAGACTAAAAAACTTTACATTTAACTTTTTAAATTAAATTTGAGTAAGGCTTTGCCAACCAAGATCCAATAAGTCCAATTCTAGCTTACACACATACGTTGATAAAACGCACATAAGTTGGATCAACGTTGGGTTTAGATCGGAAAAACAACCAACTTCTGCCATGTTTCGACATACGTTAAACCAATGTAGTTTTGCAAACTATTTTTAATCCACTTGTTATTAAAGTTTTTATCAATATAAAAACGATAAAACTAACATTGGATCAACGTTGAACTTCCATCGGAGAAAACAGGCAACGTTTGCATACAACGTTCGCATTACTTACGTTGGCCCAACGTAAATTTGTTAGCTGGGATAGTTGTTAGAATTATCTGAACTTTCAACAACTTGTTGACATGAATTAAAATATTATTTTTAAAAATGTAATCTCTTTTTAATTTGTATCTCGGATCTATTTTGTCAAGACCAGGTTTCCTTAGTTTAGACCTGGTTATAAATCATTAACAAATAAAAAAAAAAGACTTTTTTTATTTACTCTTTCATTATCAAGAAAAAAGAAAAAAAAACGCATACATTAGCATGGTCTGGACATCCGTGAGACATCTAACGGACGTCCTCCGGACGACGCGTGCCCACTGGGTAACATAGTCAATAGTATCTTTAAAAACCAATTGGGAATTGTGGAGGACATAGTAATTGGACTAGTTCATCGAGTAGGACAAGTAAAAAAAGACCAGCCGCAAACTATAATTCTCAAACTTCTAAATTTTCATGAAAAAAACAAAATATTATCTTTAGCAAAAAAAATTAAGGGTAGTGGGAAATATTCAGTTAATTTTCATATTTTTTTGAAAATTTTTTTATTAAAAGCAATAATGAACAAAAAAGATTAATCTGTATTGATGACATTGACATTTTTGACAATGTTTCAACACGGTATTTTTCTAATTATTAACAAACCAACTCGTGTTACAACAACTTTCATTAGTGCTATAGATAATATTTTATAGATAAGTCCATAAAAACAGGAATAATTAAAACTGATATTTCGGATCATTTTCCAGTTTTCTTTTCTTTTGCTGAACATGTAAACATAGGCGACAATTCTAAAATCAAAATCTTGAAACGAAAAATGAATAAACATTCTACGCATAAACTTAAAAAATCTTTATCAACAATAAATTGGACAAATGTATACCAAGAATGTAACCTTGGACACACAATTTCCGCTCATAATCTATTTCTCGACATCATTCCTGAATATTATAACAAACATTTCCTATTTACAAGAAATAGAAATGAAAACAAATTATTTAAAATGTCCGTGGATTACATGGGAATAAGAAAATCTTCACAAAAAAAAGCAAAACTTATACATCAAATAATTAAAAAAAATGAAACGAAGCTAATCTTAATGTTTATAAAGAATATATAAATCTATTTGTAAAAATAAAAAATAAATTTTTAAAAAGATATCATTCTGCACAATGAAAATATATTGGGAGCATAAAGAAAACGTGGGAAGTTATGAAAGAAATCATTGGTAAAAATAAAATAGTTTCTTACACTCTCAAGAATAACGGAAAACGGATTTTGGGTAAAAAGACAATAAATGTATATTAGAAATATTCAACCATTTCTTTGTAAACACAGGTCTAAATCTGGCATCAAAATAAAAGGCTCAGAAAAATCATTTCAATTTTTCCTATATTTTTTTAACTCCTTAAAAAAATAATTTACAATAGACTGTATAAATATTTAAAAGAACACATAATCTCAAGTAAAATCAATACGGATTTTAAACGCAAAATTTAACGGAACATGCTATCCTAGATATCATTAACAACATTAGGACTTCCTTTAATGATGTGAAATCGGTATTAGGAATCTTTATTGATCTGACAAAGCCGTGTGACACAGTAGACCACGCAACACTCAGATAAAAAAATATTACACGGTTTGCTAACTATCTAGACAACAGACAACAATGTGTTACTAAAGATCACTATAATAAAAACAATTGAAAATCAAATGTGGGGTCCCTCAATGATCTATTCTAGCTCCTCTTCTATTTCTAATTTATGTCGACAAACTTCCTAAAGTCTTGTCAAAGTAAGGTAGCATAACTTTTGCAGACGATATCAATCTGTTTTATTCTTCTAGCTCAATCAGTGACCTTTTTATAACTGCAAACTTAGAACTTATTAAACTGAACACGTGGTTCAGAGCAAATAAACTGTCATTAAACTTAAACAAAAATAAATACATTTTATATCACTCCAACCAAAAAAAACAAAGAGCTTCCCCATCAATTTTACTTTATAGACAACACAGTTATTAAACAAACAAAATCATTTTTTCGTTTGCTTCTTGATAAGAATTTATCATGAAACTCTCACATAAATGTCATTAATACAAAAATCTTAAAAAAGTTTTTTCTATAAAGCAATACCTTATCTATCGTTCAAAAATTTAAAACTTCTTTATTTTTCCTTTATTCACAGTTACCTATCATACGCCAATATATTCACAGTTATCTATCATACGCCAATATATTCACAGTTATCTATCATACGCCAATATATTCACAGTTATCTATCATGAGCAAACTCAGGTTTCGCATTTTTTTTTTAAATCCTGACGAGAACTATTTAAAACTTATACTTAAAATTTATATAATTTATATCGTACATGCCATTTATACTTATTTACTTATAATAATTTTTGATATTTTTAATATATTATAGTAATATTTGTCACTTTTAAAAAAGAATTCAATATTTAAGCGAGCGAGAACTGATTATAATCGAGTCTAGATTTTACAAAAAACGCAAAACCTGGATAAGCTCACAGGGAAAAAATTTCAACCAAAAACCTATGGCACAAAATGTCCTAAATTATCATTTAAACTCAATGACTCCATTAAAACTTTCTAAACATCGCAATTTCAGTAAAATTCTAGAAGATTTTAGTTGCTACATGGCCTACTTAAATTACACGGCCTGATTTGTTGCATTTTCCGTAAAAAATTAAGAGGCCAGTTTTTTTACGACTCAAGTATAAAAACTTAATTTTCGCTATGGTTATGAGTCGTGTTTGCACTATAATTGGTTTATTCTGATTTTATTAAAATGGTTTAATAATAGTTAGATTTTATTTGAGTACTTTTATTATTTTGTGCTGGATTTTTTGTTAACTGATTGCCTGCTTCAGTTTATTCCAATTACACAGAATACTGAAATAGGCTTTCAGATAGCTATATCAACACATATTAAGATGCTACTAAAAATAACCTTACATGTTGCTAAAACTACCCACAACTCTCCATTGGAAATAATTTTAAAGGTTTGTACTTTTGTATTTATTATAATGGCAGTTATTAGATATAAAAAATCGATTTTTCTTTCAAATATTTACACTGCAAAACAACGTTTTGAAATGTAAATACTCTACTATGCTTGTGTTTTATACATACAGCAATTACAATGCAACAAAACAGGCCAAGAAATATCAGGCATACCAACTGTTTTGGAGTCAATATCTGTTAATAAAATTCTTAATTTTTCATTGCCTAATAAATGCTTATCATATTTCATATTTTCATATTTCTTTATTAAAATGGTTTCGCAGTGGTGAAAATTACAATTTAAAAAACTATATTATATTATAAATATTATTGACAAAAATTTGTTGTTAAGTGATTATCTGCTTCTTGTGGTTGAGATGTACTTCCAAAAAGCAGCTCAATCTCAAAGTTGTAAACAATTTGATGAAGATTGAGAAAATAATCTTTATAAAGTTGTTTTTGTTTTTATTTTTAAATCTTTACCAAAAGTTTACATAACAAGTTTATGTTTGAAAAAAGAAATTGATGAGTGTATTACCTCAATGCACCAATCTGAATTTAAGATAAGGGCTGTTGTGACAGATAACCATTCTACCAATGTTAATGCATTTTTATAGTTTCATAAAGCATATATTGGTGATGGAAAACTATTAATTTATCATTCATTTTAAAAAAGGAGTGTATAAAACATACTTATTATTTGATATACTTCGTTTTATAAAAAATGTAAGAAAAAAATTTTTTTTTTTAAATTATTAAACAGGCAAGTAAAATTAATCATCAAGTCACATATTTTAGAAACAACAAACAAGTTGTCAACATTGATAATATTTGACGAAACAACTGCAGCTGTAATTAAGAGTTATTTTCCTGAAAGAAATAATGCAACACACTTTAATCATTATTTTATAAGTTATTTATCATACTTAATTCAAAGCAGAAACTTAATTTATCCAATCAAACTCAGCAAAGCTGGTAACAAACCCACACTTTATAGAGAAATTGCAAATAGTACTGAAATTTAATCAAAGTAAAATTTGATAAATACTTTACATTAACCAAAAAAACTTCTTGTGCTCTTATAACAACCCTACAAGCAACTGTATCTCTTATAAATGATTT